GGGGGCAGCGCTCATATGTACGTTCCAAGCGCTCATAGAAGAGATCCTTGGACGCCTCATCCTTCTCTTCCGTCGGGGCATGGGCGCAGATGAGCGAGATGTTGAAGAATCTAGCTTTGATGCGGATTGTGGCTAGACGTTCGTCCACCGGGGTGAACGCCAGTACTCGGCGACGGAGTCTCTCTCCTAGAGGTGCTAGAGGGGGCAAGCAAAAATATACGTGGGGCCTTAAGACGTCTACAATAGCAAAGTTATATGTACAGGAGAGCACGGTGTCACAATTATGGCGGGGGAGAGACTGTATCGCCCTATACTGTCGTTCGGACGATGAATTAATATCTCACCGCCATTCACATCGTTTATTTGCGCCCACTTCCAAAAGGAAGTGAAGGACAGGAAGAGCAAAGGCCTAACAAATGAGCGCATAGAACGCACACATGAGCGCTGTTCCTGTGTCGATATCAAAATCATGCTTGGCGATTCCAATGACACTCAGTCAGGCAAGGAAGTCTCCGCAACGAAAAATATGAGTCCAATCGATGCCGACCGGCCCAAAATATGGCAGTCCGCAGATTCCAGCACAAAAAGATCCACCAAGCTACAGGACGTTTCCAATGACGTACACTCCGATGACCGATGACCGCTATCTTGTTTGCAGCCAAACTACGCATATGCCTCTGTGCAGCATAAAATGTACTGTAATCACATAAGATGGCCAGTTTATTGGCCAGCCGACTAAAACACTTGCTCTCAGAGAGCACTTTTCATCAAACCGGCATATGCATACAGTGGAACGTTCCCTAAATGCTGCCCAATAGCAAATCCACCTGGTAATGTATTATAAAATTAGGGACCTGCAAATAATTTGAAGACTAGGACAAATTCCTGTATCCACGGCGACCTAGCTACCGATGACCAAAACATAATTAAATTATAGAGGAAATACTTTTCCACTCTTCTGAATGGTAAAATTAGTAAAATCAGTTGACAGGATGAAACCGATCCCCTGTTATTGGCGACGAAATCGGTGTCCCACCGCTTGGTTATTTTGGTCACGGGGGGTTAATAACCCTGTGCAAGAAACTACAGACCTGTCAGAATACCGCACAACGTACTTCAGTGCCAATCATTTTGATATCGCCTGAACACCGCTTGCACAGCCAGGCTTCAATGCTCTCAGTGAAGGCAGCGTGAACGTGAAACTGACGTGTATGCTAGTTGTACGGTGGAAGATGAAAAATAAGGATGAGAAATATTTGGCAATTTTGGATAGGACTGTGTGGCTGATTGGTAGAAACGTCGCCTGACCACATGCCCAGGAACTATTTAGTGCTTATGACACTATTTTTATCCGCCTTCTCTGGGATTTTTAATTTTTTTTTTCTGCTTTCATGATTCGGTTTCGTCAAACCATTTGGATTTTTCGATGAATCTATTTAGACAAGTAATGTTGCATTTGGAGATCTCCTTAAGATTTTGGATGGAAAAACTCCCAAGTGTCTCTTTAGAAATTCTTCTGTCTTTGGTTTGCCATAATTCGGCCGTATGTTCGTACAGTTCCCTTTTGATGAGTCCGAGTTGTCTCTGCTTCGGATTCATCAAGCGATGATCCAGCCTTAGATGAGGGAGAATTTTATTAACTCGGCCATCGAGCTTAACGCGCATTTACCACCTCTGACTGTTTTGGACTTTTGGATCAGGTGGATGCGACTTAATTACTCCTGTAGCGCCTGCACAAGCTGCTCTTTGTATACTGCTTAATTTCCTGTCCTTGTGTTGTTTATCTCTGGTACTGGACACCAAATTGACGCCCCGTAGGCGTGTATATCCAGCGGTCAGGATTTGGCTTTAATCACCAGTTCCTACTGAATAATGTTTTTTGTTGTAATAGGCTGTAATAGTTTGGTGTCTAATTTCACCTTGGAGGACAATATGAGAGTCATTTCATTAAGGAGGGAAAGCCTCAATTGTGGTATTTTGGTTTGCTTGGTAAACAGCATCAGTTCCGTTTTGCTGGGGTTGACACCCAGTCCACTTTTTAGGGCGCCGGTATTTATCATGAGCAAATATCCTTCTAGGATTTCGCGTATCATTAAGGGGAGAAGACTTGATACCGCCACCACTACATCATCTATGTGACTACCTTCACTCCACCTTAGTTGAGATCCAGTAGAATGTCGTTCAGTGCCACCACCTCTATTCGCATAACGGGATAGCGTTACTGAACCAATGGTTGAAATTATAATTCTATTTCTAAGCAAATGTTCGATCCACTGGCACATGTGGTCAGATATTCTTACCTTTACAAGGTTCCAACAATTTCTTCGATTTTAAGGTTATTGCAGGCCCCCTCTACGTCGAGGAAGACCGCAAACGTGTAGTGTAAAAAAAAAACATATAAAGCTACGATAAGTGCGATGACTTGGGTATGCCAAACTAATCGATGAAAACGCTCCACTGAGAAGGAGGCAACTGGGCGACCTTTATCAAGTGATGCGCGACATATTAACACATGAATTATTCTAACCAGCACTGTGCATATCCAGAAGCATCTGGTGCAGATGCGTTCCCTTTATTTACTTAACTATTTATTGCTTTTTATATTCAAGCACACACATGTACAAAGCTCCATGTCTGTTCCTTGCATTTCTTGCCCTCTAATAACATTTTTTCGTCTTCGTCAGCACTTTTTATACAAACTTGTATTTTTATTTTCTCTTACAGTTCACACACAACTACCAACACACAACGGTGGCAGCAGTAATGCTGGAGGCTACGAAAAATCACACAAATCGTCATCGCCCGGCATTGTACCCTCACCGCGTTCGCCCTGGGTGTTCGCCAATGGCGCTGCGTCACAAATGCACTTCAGCGCTCAACGACTACTCTTCGCTGCAAATACGCTTACACTGCTTTACGTCGCATTATCCTTGTTCAAATTTATATCGAATGAGTTGTCCGTGGTCACAGTCACTGCAACGACACTATGGCGAGCGTATGGCTGAAGCGCTTGCGAGTAAATGTGACGATGACGGCAAGATAGCAAGGAAAATGCTGCATATGCCCTAGGAGTTCGAATGGTTGCTGATAATCGTAGAGAGTTCATCGTCGCGAAATATTTGCCAAAGGTGCTATAAGAAATAACTAATATACATACATACCATCACTAGGGGTATGTATGATCGTACGTGTAAATATTTTTTTTATAATAGAAAGAGACTTATATGCTTTAATGCATATGTAAACATATGCGTCCCTTTTGGCTGGCGTGCTTGGGTATTAATATTGTAGGTGAAAAAGCTTTCGTCTAAACTTCATTAAATTGAGTATTTTGTATATTTTTTTTGACTATATAATGTTCACCTCATTCAACTTCCTTTCAATAAAATGAATGAAAACTACTTTTAACCTTGCTCGCCTAAGTATAACCCATAACGTCATTAGTACGTGAAGCAACATTTTGATGCACTTTTATCCTGAGACCTTCGATGTAAACTGTTATTAAGGACGGACGTTGTCTCCAGACCATTTGGCTTAATTTAGACATTGCATGATATTTTCTATGCGCCAAAGCCTGGCACTCGCAAATTTACTTAGTGGAAGGTCGTTTCCTTACTGCCCGCGAGAAAGCAGCTGCGAAATTGGATATTGGGTAGACCCAGTTTAGGCACGTGTCTTCCGTATGGGTAGTGAATCCTAACTGTGTCAACAATTCTGTATGTGTATGTCTTGATAAGCAAAAGGGTCTGATTATGCATATTTCGCATAACTTCGCACAACCATTTGTGCCAGTGGCCTAAAAGTGTAACTTAAGAAAATGTGAAGCAAAATCTAGACTCAACAGACCGCTAAGTTTGTAAACGTTCTGCTAATTTCTGCGTAATGGAATATATACAAATCAGATACAAAGTACATACGAAATTACAGTTTGAAGTTTATGCGAAGTTGTGCGAAGTTATGCGAAGTATGCATAATCAGACCATAAGAGCTCTTCGGTTTCGTAAATATTCCTATGGCTAATGACGCGAACAACTAAGAAAGCGCCAAGAGCACTGCTTGCCTTTCTTCAATAGTACGTCGTTGTTTAAAGTACAAAACCGCGTAGCGTCATTCTGAAAAACCGCGTAACTGACATTTGCTGCCAAAAATTGGATTTGCTCACACAAGCTCTTTTCTCAATGATTGTCCATTCATTCTGAAATATACTAGCCAGAAATGCGATTCTTCTTCTTCTTTATTGGCGCTGTTACCGCCTTAGCGATTTTGGCCGAAACCAACACAGCACGGCAGTCATTTCTTTTCTGTGCTAACTGACGCCAATTGGAAAAGACATGTGAATTTTTCTTAGTGATAGATTTCGGGACCCCCGGTACAATTCTGAAAACGTCGGGATAGGCGGGATTGGGATTAAATATATATCCCGTGCCCATCTCTATTGGCTGATTAAGTGCCATCAAGGCTCTAATCTTGTATACAACCTATGCAAATACCATTATTGATTGTAAGACGGCAATAAGAAGGTGCAGGAGAAAACGAAAGAGCTGGCGAGCTAGCCATATATAATAATGATAGATTGGCGCTTACACATATGTTAGTGTTTGGCCGAGCTTCTCCTCCGATTTTTGGCGTGCGCTTTGATATTGTCACACAAAGCGGAGGGACCTACAGCTTTACGCCGACTTCAAACGGCGATTGAATTTTTATGAGATAGCAACGGACTTTCCAATTCCTCTACAAGAAACCAAATGATCCCACGAACTTCTTGTTTACATACCTTTAGGTAGATAGAGTAAGGAAATATTGCCTCAGCTGCAGAGTTGCAAATACTGTGAGTAGATCGTACGGTGGAAACCGTATGTATAAGTAAAGCAGACATTGCTAACGTGGTTCTGTTTGCAAGCAACGCTTGCAACGCGCAATCGGAACATTGTGTACTATAATTCGTTCAATGGACGGCAATGTTCTGTAACAATAAGCCGTATGAATAAAAATTAAGCAAATGTTTATTCTTAATATTTCAGACCCTTTACCTAAATTTATTTGAGTAAATCGAGTAAAAGAGCAATAAAAATTGCGCAGTACTTTAAGAGTTTAACTGGGATAAAGAATATAATATAACAGTACCTATATATAAATAAGAAGATTGCCGCATATTCACTCATTCGCACAGAGTTTGCTGATGCATATCTGAGTGTTGTGTGTGTGTGTGTGTGGTGTTTTTAACGCTATTCATGCCATTATTTTATTTAACCGCCATTTATTCGATGAAATGTGCAGTTTGTATTCTTGCAATCGCCAGAAAGTAAACAGCTTAGGACCTTCTCTTTTGCACCATCTTTCTCTTGTGGACATTTCCGTTCTGTATGCATTCCAGACTCGAGCCATTTCTAATTCAATTCCGCACATTATTCTATTCACTACTTCCTCACAAACTGCTTTGTTGTTATTTCACACTTATGCATTTTTGTATTTGTTTTTCCACTTTTTTATTGCTTTCGTTTTACAGTAATATGTGTATGTACTTATTTTTTGTCAACCGAAAATTATTGCATTGCATGCATAATCCTCGACACATCCGTACATTTGCACTCCTATTCGAAAAGCGAAATTTCGCCCCTCTTTTATTGGCGCTTATATGTATGTTTTTGTACAATACAATGTTTTCCCCCACTGCTTTCAGTTTGTTTACTATTTTTCGTGTAATTGAAAAATGAGCTTGAAAAATTTTATGTAATAAACTATTCAAACAGCTTTCGCCACACTATCTTTCGGTGTTCAGCTGTGTCCTTATCTCTAACGTTGCCAAAGATATGTATGTATGCATGCATATATATTTGTGTGTACAATTACACAAAAACATGCAAATATGCTCGAAATCACAACACGCTTACATATGTATAGTATGTATATGTATACATAATACATATATACAAATGTACATTAGACTGGTTGAAAAAAATCGGTAATTTCAAAAAAGACGTCTGTCAAAAAGCGCAGCTCTTAATATTACGATTAAGAGGTCGCTCCTTGCGAATTTCTATTTTATGTAAATAAGACAGTAAAATTGCTATCAATTTTTACGTCAGCGTATCGTAGTCTGCCAAGGCGAATTCATATAAAATCAATAAATGCAAAAATTACTTGTATTTTGGTTTTGCCTTTTGTGGTCCCACTGAAGGAAAGAAGGCGACAAAAAATACAAACACTCTCACGTTTTCACTCACTCGCTAGCCAAATACAAAATTTTGACATTCACAAGCTATTCACAGCTGATTAAACCTCACCATTTTATATGAATTCGCCATGGAGTCAGATACTTGTCATGTGTCAAAAATGTGTCAAAACGTGTTAAAAGTGCTGAGAGCGTAAAGAACACTAAAAACCACATTTCGTGCCCGGAATCAACAAATCAGCTTGTCTTTCTTTATTTCCCACTACTTATTTTTACGTTCGACTAACAACGGCAAGAAAAAAAAATTTCTAAAAACCAACGGTAGGTCTTAGCTACTTCAAATTGCATTGCAAAATGGCATGCATTGTGAACCCTTACATCGAGAATTTTTTTAATTATAAAGCTCGAAATTTCTCGAAATTTTTGCTTCTTTTTTTTTTTGAATATTGCACAAGTTTGAAACTTGGATTATACGGCTTTTGCTAAAGAATAAACAATATATATTTTTATAAGGGAAATATTAAAATTAAATAATAAAAAATATTATTTATTCAAAACTTCTCACTGTGTAGGTGGCGTATACTTTTGGTACACACTAGGGAAGTTGATTTTTCGGCTTTTTTCGATCCTGGGATTTTCGGGATGGCGTTCTCACAATCCCGGGATCCCGGATTAGTCCCAGGATTTAGATATTCATTACATTTCAACAACTAGAATCGAAAAAATTGCTTCGATGTTGTTTGAGAAGCCCTCCTACCATGAAATAAATAATAAATAAATGGGTTTGAAACCTACTTTCTTATTTAAAGTGGCGTTTTTATTTTTTCTTTCTGACCGCAGGATTTATTTTGAAGGACTTTGTAATTTCAAAGAAATTATTAATTCCAAAAATTATTAAATAAATTCAATGCAATGTAGAATAAAAATAAGGGTAACAAATGCAATAGGGAATTTCTTTAGAATTATAAAAATTTTAGTTTTTTGGATTCACAAGAACGAATAGGTATTTTTGAAGCTGATAAAGTTAGAAGAACGAAATTCGAGGATGTTATCGAGTTTATATAAGCCCTTAACATATAATTTTTCCAAAAACAAATATTGTGAAATTTCGAAACTTGAACCTGTTTAAATTATAAGGCTTTCCTCATTAATTCTATACCCATATACGCGGTATTATATGTATAATGAGCTACACATTTATAAAAAAAAATATTCATTATTAAATAAAAAAAGAAATATAGCCAATACTGGTCAAGAAAAGGAGTTTCTATTATTGCCATCAGTGCAAATTACAAATCCCGAAAATCCCGGGATTAACATTCCTAGTACACACTTTTTACAGCTTTAGTATTCTGAAAGTTTTGAATAACTTTTTTTTCAAAGGAAATTAAAAACTAACAATTAAAAAAGTCCAAGTTCGGGCGGAGTATTCAAGGCACAAGTATTCAATATAGTTTTTTCACCTTTCCGAAAACTACCGCTAAGTGGTAAGCAGGGGTGGTTTTACGCCTATTTCCAACATCTTCGATAGAATGCTCAGTTAGACATAATGAGATAAACTTATAAAGATATATGTGGGCGGCAGCACGCCCGTTTTCCAAAATTCCATAATAATATTACTTCTTTTCAAGGGATTGTTGTTAGTATAAATTTTAAGTAAAATTAGCGACCTTAAATTTCGAAATATCGTAGTTTAAAGCATTTCTGAAATGTACCGTTGTATGAAAAGTGGGCGTAATTTCAGTCCGATTTCAATAATTTTTAACGTTTTGCTTTTATGTGGCACTCACGATAATCAAACCCAATTTGGTACAAACTGATCGAACGGTTACCGAGGTACGCACATGTGGTCCTAAGTTGTCAGGGTCACGCCCATTTTCCAAAATTTTATTATAAA